CGAAAAGAATAATTATGTGTCAAGTTAGTCATAGAAGCGGCAAAGAAGCGAAACAGAAGCGACAACAGAAGCGCAAACAATTTGTTCGCCGTCTATCCTATTCAATAGAATCGGGGTCTGTTGATATAAAATGAAGGTATCTTACATATATTATGTATGTATGTGCAGGGTGAGGCTGAGTAAATGGACAATCATATCGGAGTCAACGTGGGAATTTTAAAACCTGCACGGCAACAGCCACAGGCGCAAGCCTTGGTAAAATGGTTAGAAGGTGGAGCCTAGACCGAACCAAAAAAATTATAGGCAAAACAGTTCCACGAATCAGTCTGATGCTCACCCGTGGCAGGTCAGTCCAAGACCAGTCCAATGTTCCCCATGCATAAGGTCATTCTACACGATCTCCATAGGGCGGTGCCATATGTCATTTTACTGTACATTATAATTATAGTCCCTACCAGTAGCCACCAGTTAGATTCTTTTCCTGTGATCGGGCCTGGATCTGGGATCAATTTTATTGCGAGCTGATCCGGGCCTAACTTAAACCACTCCTTTAGAAGCACAACGCACATGGCAAACGCGGCCACTCGTGCGTGTCATGTACAACAGCGAGCCCGGGTGTTTTGTTGATTTGCAGGCTTTTCCTTGGCGCATTGTTGCTGTGTCTGTACATGTATACACATGTGGTCCTACAATCTCAAACCCCTTTCAGGCATGTAGGGATATTCCTGTGGTGTGACCAGCAATCTCCTGCTCCGAGTGCAGGAGCTGCATTGCCTTGCGCAGTGACACGTTTTGATAAGTCACCAAGACCACACAACTGGCGAGTCAAGCCTAAGGAATTAAGTATAAATATGATGGGTACAGATGAACTGGGTGATAATGTTTGTGCACGGCCATGAATTATGAGACTGCATGCCAGAGACTAAAAATGTGAAGTGATCCTGTCGGAACTATGTCACAGGTTCTATTAAGCGTTCCATAGCCAGGCAGGTTTTGGTCATCCACTTGGAGAATGAGCACCCAAATTCATCAGCCAGCCGCAAGGTCCACCTTGGATTCCCGGCGGTAAATAGACCAATACCCACTCCGCGTTCCACCTCGTTGATAAAATAGCCTAATTGTCCATCAGGACCATGCATGACACCAATATCCAGTCGGACCATCAGCCTCAAGGAGCTGGGTGCACCCAGCAAATCTTCCTCAACTTCTATGAGCTGACTCAATACGGTTGTCGCAAAGGACTCCAGTTCTTGATCGGCTTGGCGGCGTTCGGAGCACGTGCCCCCTACAGGATCCATGATATCATCAAAGACGTAAGGTTCCCTAATACGCAGGCTGGGTCGGCCTACAGGTTAAGACCAATCGGATTGTGACGGAGGGTCAGTTGAAGAACTCACGTCATTTCTGCCAGAGACAGACCTGCATCCCGATGCAAAAAGACCAACTCCTCTCGCCTATTTCCAGGAGCTGTGTGCACCACCCACAATGGTAGACAATCTACCAAGATAATTCGCCACTCTCCCAGCTTCCGAAGGGTGGGTACATATGACTGCTTTAACCACCTGAAATGACCACAGTCTGGGGAGATTCAATGGATCCACTTTTCCTGGTAATAAAACATGACGGTTGCAATCACTGCCTTCACGCTTCAGAATCCAGCCTGCAAAGGATTGTGAGACATCATTGCGAGAAAGGAGTGTGGTCCGGGTCTGGGAGTTCCATTCTGGATGCAATTGGTCAAGGTTAACGATTACATTGAATTTTATGGAGGCGCGTAGGATCTCTCTGGACGGGGCCATACCGGTACAATGGACTCCAGCGTCTGTAGGCCTATAGTATTGCTGCAGCTGGGCCGAGCTGCCCCAACCACCAGCCTGCTCACTTATCCTGATTGTCAAGGTTTGAATAAGGTAACCACATGATCACCTGCCTTGGGTCCACCATAAGATCTAGGCCGCCACAGACCGAGTGATATTGTTGAAATGTTTGTTTGAAGTCGAGTTTGGTGAGATCAGTATATCCGAAAATTTTCAAACTTCATGAACTCTACAGTCATTCCTTTGTGCCGAATTCTAAGCCAAAATAATAACTTATGGGTTACAGGGATCAGTCTGGAATCGCGCAGTTTTCGACATCCAAACCTTTTCATGAAGCCGCACTGGCACAAAGCCTGGTCGCTGTGCAACAAGGTGGCCGGATTCTCCAGGAAAGACAAAGCCGCAAAGGGTCGGACTGTCCAGGAGATCGGCAGCCAAGAGAGCAGGATAGTCATGGGTAACCCAGTCGATACATCCATAAGAATCCCGCACCAAAGCACGGGAGAACTGAGGATCTAACACCACCAACACCCGGTAAGACATTATTAGACCAGGACGTACTTGACAGATTTGGTATTGTCAGCCTTCAAGGCTTCAAAGCTTCAGGTATTGATCTGGGTTTTTAATACCGGACCGGCCGCAGTGATGCCGATGCTGGTTCGCCTAAGGTGATGTTAACGTAATTAATATTGCCAATACATTGTAATTTCCTTGACCAGAAGTTAGCGGCTCCTTGTCTCCGCAATAAATTTGGTTACTTGATCGCACTGACCATGGAAATTGTCCTGGCCGCATTTACCTATTCTGCATCAGCATACCATCGACCATGACAGGGACGGCTGCTCGATCTGCTGGATGCCTGACGCCTGCCGTTGCTGTCGGCGAACTATTCTTTCTCTCCACGCCCCGCGATTTCGCTCCCTCCTCGCTCACTACGAAAACTATTCTGCTGCTCTGCTCCGTATATGCACCGCGCTCGAAGAGCTGATAATTTACCATGTGCCCACACATTTTCCGCCAGCACCCGACCTACCACCTACTATAAAACCTTTCTTTCAGAAATCACAATCACACATACCACAACACGCTCCAGCCTACCATCAAAGCAGTGGACGCGCTTCAAAGCCCTACATAAAGTCCTGACGTGTGACAAGAACACAGAGCAGCTGGTCAGAGATTATGAGACATTGAAGGCGAATTTGTGGTATACATCACGAGCTTGAATCACTATACTATGGGCAACATACAGTCGGAACCCTGGATGAATCTCATCAGTTCCCCCGTTCATAGAAAGCATTTTAGCGAACGCACTGACCTGATCCCGCGCGGCGTTCAGCTCAGGCCCCTCAGTCTGAGCCTGACTTAGATATTTACCTCCACTCCCATGAACAAATCCTACGCCTTCACACACCTTCTGCGCAACTCTCCCATGATGACGCATGTTCTACGTGATGCAACCTGGCAGCTGTTGCAGTGGATAAGATCGGAGGCGTATATAGAGCACTTCCAGAAGGCCGGCGGTAATCTGGTGTCTGTGCCACCATGAACTTGTTGCTGTGAAACACGTTAATGATGTCTCTACCGCAGTCAATTCACATTATGGTAGTGTAAGAACACAAAACAATACTTACCTCAACTTACAGCTGCTTCCATATCCTACGCGCGCAAAGTAACTTTCCGTCGTTGTGTTCCATTGACGAGAGCATATATCGGACCTCGCGCGACGCGAAGGCAAACTCATATATGTCCATGATGACCAGCGTGAGCTCGCTGGGAACGGGAATACAAACGTTATGCCTAGTATGGTTTCGGACCTGCGCCAGTGCCGCAGCGCGTCAGCCGCCCAAGGTCCCTATAGGTCTCACATTATTGATTCAAATCCGTTTATCACCTTACCACGCTGTCGTACCTCTCCCAGGCCGGCGAGTATGTCAGTAACGACAGCCAGCACATTATAGCGAAAAGAGGCTGACCACGCGCGTCGTTGAAGTCGAGACGCTTTTAAAAGGTGGCGCTGCTGCCAGTCGATCGATCGCTCGATCAGCATCTGGGACCTGGGTGGAGTATGTATATGAAAGCCTGTCGTGTTTGGATTGTCCCAGGAGCACCTGAGGATACCACGTGACTCTCACACTGAAGACGGTCCGGCTGGTTCCACAAGTCAGTCCACTTTGTCGCCTATTTCCATAGTCAAGAGGGTTTAGTCACTCGGGAGTTGCCAGATGATCTGTACAGTTGGGTGCAGACTCCAGATAAATGTAGAGGGACATTTGTGTTCGAAAAGCCCTCCCACTAACCGTGGGAGTTGGGGACGCATGTCATTTTCTTTGTCTGTATGGAGCCACGCAACAAGTTTGTGCTGTTCCCCATAGACAAAAAACCAACGTGATACACACGCGCGGAAGGATATTGGGGTGAGCGTTAACTTTAGCCGCCCTAATTGAGGCATGTCCAATGAACTTAACAACATCCTCAGCCTCATCACAAACGGCACCTAAGAAGGCATCACCATCGGTGGTGACCGCTACCCAGGCTCGACCTTTGTCAACCTCCTCCACTATGAAGCCGACCCTGCATGCAAAATGCTCGTCCTCCTCGGAGAAGTCGGCGGCGTCGAAGAATATGGTGCTTATTAGGAAGCCGGCTGCGTTTATCCGTACGATCTCTGACGAGCGTGGACAGGAGCTCTATGCAGGCATGCGCATCTCGGATGTGTTCAGAGAAGATATTGGCCTTGGGGGAGTCGTCTCTCTCCTCTGGTTCAAACACCATCTTCCCTCCTGGGCGACCAAGTTCATTGAGATGGTGCTGATGCTCACTGCAGACCACGGCCTAGTTGTCAGTGGCGCCACGAACACCATCGTCACTCCCCACGCGGGCGAAGACCTCATCTTGAGTTTGGCGAGTGGCTTGTTGACGATTGGGTTAGGATCGGTGGGGCGCTGGATGAGGCTGCTGGTACGTTCAGTGGGGCTAGGGATACGGGGTTGACGCCTGGGGAGTCTGTGGATAATTGCAGGAAGGTGAATAAGCTCGGCGAGTGTTTCTCTTTTCGTCTTTTCGTCTTTTCGTCTTTGCGTTCTTGCGGTTCCATCAATCAGACCTTCACGCGGAGGTCACTTCCGCGCACTAATTATAATCTTGCAATTTACTATCTGCTACAGTTCTAAATGCCAATCACGCCATGAAGTTTCAATCTTTCAGTTAGATCAATCTAGATTTGATCTAGGCAACTAGGATCGACAGACCTGGTTGTGAATGTTCTCAAAGAGACTCTGAGACTTAATGAGCGCGGATCAACAGGGACTACTGAGCATACGAACAACTGCTAAAGCATGTTAGGGAACATATGTCATATACTATAGTATCCTAAGCAGCCTGGAGTCTTTGCCATGATGACTTATTTTGAAAAGTACACCCAGCCGGGCCGTGTTCAACAGTCGATAGCGTCAGTGTCGAGCTGAGGCTGTGTGATATGAGATGAAGTCATAACAGGGTATAGTTGAGAGCACGCACATGATCCCTGATTGTATGATCCGCAATAGTCTAGAGCTGGCGTGTGAAGGACTGATCTCGAGGCAACGTAGCTATTATGAAAGAAGTAATAGTTACTGCCAGATCCTTGCCCCAAGGATGGAGACCTAGACGGAGATGCTCCGTCACCATTATCGCTAGTTAGTTAGTTAGTTCCAGCACCAGTAGCTGTATCGTGTTCAGTATCAGCACTAAGTTCCAGCTGATGTAATCTGGGTCTTACAATCTTCTATCTGATTTTCATCTGCGAAAGGATCTCCCCCGCCCAGTAAGTCTACTTGGGAGGCAAGCTGGCTGTCGTATGACGCGATGTCATTGAACTGAAGAACAGTGACCGTATGCTGTTGAACATTATGATGTTTGCCAAAGACCTCTATACCGAACCATATCACCCTGTTGAGCGCCACATGAAGCGGGACTTTAGGGGCTTCGCGAGTCATTACACACGCACTCAGCGCCCTCCCATGTATTACTTCATTGACTTTGGCTTATCGCGCCAGTACGATGCCAGTGTGAAAAAACCCCACTCGAGTATCCAATATTCGGAGGTGATAAGACGGTGCCAGAATTTCAGGGCAATACGGATGTTCTTTTGAACCCATTTCCTACCCATATATACCGTCTCGGTGGCGTCGTTCAGAGAGTTTATCGATGTAAGTATTGCATGAAATTCCTTCTGCTGATTGCTTATCTCTACAGTAGAAAAATACAGGGTTTGAGTCTCTGAAACCTCTGGTAGACGCCATGATTCAGAATGATCCCAGCGCAAGACCTACGATGGATATGGTAGTTAAGCATTTTGACTTAGTTCGACAGCAGCTCAGCACCATGGAAACTCCGCTCTCGTGTCCCTGCGAGAGATGAAAGTCTATTCGAAACACTGTACCTCGGTTTGCTACCCATTGGAGGCGGCGGATAGGTTTTATTGTCAAGCGTACCCTGCCATACCTCGCCTTCAGGCATAACTCGTACTTCTGCGGTGGTGCAGCGTGCTATCAGAGCACTGCCGCATACACTATCATAAGTGGAGCTCAGAGAAGTTTGGTCAGAGTAGCGGGGAGATTTATTGGCGTAGTTCTGGCAACAGGTCCCAAGGTGTTGGGCATGGTACTTGATCCGGATGGGCCAGAAACTATTTCTTGCTCTGTTGACGTTCGCATGTACGGGTCAAGGCTGTATTAGTCGAGAATGTCATAATCCTCCACTCCATCTACGGAGTAGTCGCTGTGGAGGAATTGCGAAGAGTACAGGAAGGTGATCTGTTCAATGTTTGATGGGTGGCTGAGGAGTTCAGCTGCGAAGGAATGAGACTCACAGATTTCTCTACTACTAGTACTGTATTCTCCAGTAATGATCTGTTTTAGATCGAGTTGAGTGATGCAGTCACCGTTACAAAAGCTTGGTGCGTATGGTGCAATCCTTGCCAATGTTCTTAGTCTTCGCAAGGCGAGCCGTTTACCGGCTGTGATTTCACCTCCAAGAACAAATGAGTTGAAAGTGCAGTGGTAGAATCGGACCACGGAGGTGAACGTCTTGAAGAGTCCGATGAGGAGGCCCTGAAGAGAGTTAACCACGCTACTACGACTCCGAGTTCACCATTGGACACGATTTCTAAGATAATTTTTGCCTTCTTGAAACTACTCATTGCGGGTTAGTTTATGTAAGCCAAATATTCAAGTGGGAAGATGCGTGCCAAATAAGCTTAGCTAGCTACGACTCGGACGAACTGATATTGCCCTCTTGGTTTAGTACTCAGTGATGACACGACGCAGCTGGAGAGTAACGATAATTGCCTATACGGACCTTCTCATGCACCGTTCTCTTCTTTCACTCTGGCGCTGTGAGTGGTGTGGGTGGGGAAAGTTGTGAGGATATGTTAGCATTTTCTCTCCATTTCTTTCATCTCTCTGACTCCCCTCCCGATCTGGTCCTTCTTGGTTTGTGATAGACGGACAACAAAGTCAACAACGCTGAATATACTACACTCCAGACTCAACAGTGTTTTCATTTACGCGCCTGAGGTCTGAGTTGTTTTGGTGTTTATCGTGTACGTTCTCCTCCATTCCCTTCATCCTTCCACTGCCTCACCCTTCCCAATATAAATCCCAACTTACTAACCAACCAACCCCATAGGCCGCAAAGAAATCTTCGCTATGTTCGCGCATGTGGGAACGAAACCACTTGTAGGGGTACTATGGCTGCATCTACTAGCGCGTAATGGGTGCAGGTGTTAGTTTCTTGGCATAGGTGGACATGGAGAGGGTTATGAGAGACACGTGAGCTTCTTTGTTTTGTCTTTTGCCTGTGATGTGCGAGGTTGATAACCACCTTGGCACGTAATCCTACCGTATACCCAAATCCCAACACTCACTCTCACAAATATGAACACGCACAGCACAAACCAACCTTCGTGCAAGCATACAACATAAACTCAAAGGATCATACCCTCCAGTACGTTCAATCATTGGATCCCTGTTGATGACTCTTCTCTTGGCCTTTTCCATCGCGGCATCGCCTGTTGAAATTTGCGACTCCCCCCATCACCAGGAGGCTGAATACATCTGGTGGTACCATAAACCTCTTGCAGCACGATTAATCTCGCGCGGCCGCCCTCAAAAGTGTCGGCGAAATACTCAGCAATCGTACTGGTAGCATTGCCGTGACAAATGATGCTGTAGGCTACATCGCAGCAGTTAGCGTTGGTAGCCCCGCCACAACCTGTAGGTTCAACACTCAGAAAACGTGCGGCTGCTGATGTATTATTACAGACGACCTGATTGTCGATACCGATAGCTTAAACACATGGGCTGACGCCAGCACTCCGTACGTGGTAACAAGCACCAGCGTCGACACTGCCGAGCCTGTAATGGTCGCTTACGGTTCTGGCTCCTTCTCTGGTATGACATACAACACTATCATTAGTTGAAAATACCTACGATTATCTATAGGAAACTGAGTACACCAACATTGTCACTCTTGTAGTGAACTCACCTCCTGCTTCGAGCCCAACCCAGTGCCAAGCGTCTCGTACACGGCCAACGTCTCCATAGCATGCGCAGGTGCCGTATGCAAATACTGTACACCCACTTGCGCAAGGAGCAACGCGCGGAGATGGTTCTCACCAGCTAACATCGATAAAGACAGCGCGGATTTCAGGTGCGATCTATGCCAGAAATTAATTCGTCAGTACGAAGTGGTTACGCAACTTTTGGTGCAAAACAACAAAAAAACGTACTTGGCACCACAAGAGTCAGCCTTGCATGAGCAGTCCGCTCGACAAATCGAGCATTTCACCTACGGCTGCGTTGACATGCCCTCCGGTACGCCTCCAAACTCCAAACAGTCTCAATCTGGATCATCAGGGCAGCACCAATGGATCTGCGGTCGATGGATTGAGATCGACTCCATGATGTTCTGTTCCCTCCAATCCGATCAAAACTGAACGTGAAAATATGTTTCACAGGTATCAGCGTAAGTATCGCTTGGTTGTGATATCGTCTCTACTGAAAATGAGAATTGGCTGCAAGTCACTAGTCACTAGTGAGTCGGGATCAAAGTACACAGATATATATAGAACTCAAAGAATGCTAGTTTGCCCTTGCAGCCTAATGGTAGGAAGACGGTCGTTCCTCCTGTATGTTTCACTTGAGTCGATTGGCCATCATGGTGTTTAAGAATGATGGATGATGGTAACTTCGTCACTTAGACACACCGGTAGTGACTCGATGGCGCACTGGCAGAGCCGAGCATGGTAAGCTTCAGTCTTCGCCCAGTATAGCACTGGTTGATACTTTGTGACGTCCGTGATAGCATGGACTATATTTATGAAGCGACTTGAAGGTCGTCCAATTGCTTGAGCCATTGATTTGAAGACAAGAATCAAGACGTGTAGTAGTCCAAGTCCTACACGAGTAGAAGTCCGAATGACTGTCTTCGAGCTCTATGTACTCTTTGCTCAAAGGTGGAGAAAAGTGTGCATGTCCTCCAGGCTCGAAGGTCGACATTAATATTTGAATATAATACGTGCTGCCAGTTGGTCCTTGAACTCTGCAGACTGGAGTCAAGTTGGAGGCGAAATGTTCGCGATTATGTAAAACTTAGGCCAAGCCTTGGACAAGGCAAACCTCATGACGGCTACTTACTAGTTGCGGCTCAGCAAATGCCAAGATGGAGTGGGGATGCCTGTTCAGCTTGACGTATCCTACCCTCCAGATCTTGTCCTAACGAACAATCTGGACGTGGATCCTGATTTTGCAGACAATTTCGCTCGTTGCGCTAGGTGGTACACTTTTCAGTCAACCACTTTGAGCAACGCTCAAATATCAAAACACTGAAGGTGTGCCGATGGATCCGGCTTCCTCATTCAGTTGCGAAAACAGGGCATTTCAGCTGTTTAATTTGTAAGCATCGTTGTTGTCCGACTCCGACAGCTCGAGTCATCTACAATCTCAGATGTAGTTGACATCCTGAAGTCCAGACATTCAAGGTCAGTCGTGTTGCGCATGATTTGGCTTTTTCACCTATCAAAGCGTATATACTCATTCTGGAGTCATGCAGGCATGTCGCCTAGAGAATTAGTAGTAACGCTTATCTCATTCCTCACAGCTGAAGTTTAACCCGACAAAATCGCATATTTTGTATGCCGCGTTTCCTCGACACGATGCTATATATGCATGGGAACCTTAGTAGCGATACATCTGTACCTGTGAAAGTTTTTCAGGATTCTCGCAAAACCTTAACCAATCAAAAAATCGAATTCGACATACAGTGTGTTGCATATGAGATTGCAGTGCGTGTTTTTCAAAACTCGGCCTCGCTACCTTTACCGGCACTTGTATACCTTAACTAGGTCAAGGGATGTGACATGTCACTCTAGCCACTGCCGCTTGATGAAACGAAACCTCAGTCAGTTCGTTATGCCAGGGTCATTCACTAGTCAGGAAATGCGCCAGAATATCGTATTCTGGCGGTTTGAACAGCACAGGACAGCTCTTGAAATATCTCAGCTTGCTCAATGCTCAGAGAAGACAGTATACAATATTCTTCGCTTGCACCGAGACTATGGTCAAGTCACCAACCCCTTTGCACGCCGCAGGGGTCGTCCCCGCGTTCTTGACACCGTCGACACCGAATACATCCATGCACTACTCCAGGCAAACCCTGCCATGTACTTGGATGAACTATAAGAACAACTTCTCACTGCTCGGAACAAAGACATTTCTCTCGCTACCCTTCTCACGCGCCACTCGAAGGCTGGGGAATGACCCACAAAGACATTTCCAAAACGGCTGCGGAGAGGAATGAGCTCTTGCGGGTAACTTGGCAAGCCGCATATGGGGATATACCGGCTGAATACTTTGTCTGGCTGGATGAGTCCAGTGTTGATGACAAGACCAATCAGAGGATGCAGGGATAGGCAGATATCGGGCGCGCGTGTGTTCGCAGATCAACTTTCATTCGAGGGCAGTCCTTCAATGTGTAGTATCAGTATATAGTGTAGTATGAATCCAACCACATCACGAACTAAATTGAGTGATAATGTAGGAACGACTCGGAGCATAGTCAATATCAATGAAAAACAATCTATAGTTAAGTCAATTAATGCGCTGCCTCTTCTCAGCTTTCTTCAAATCGAGACGAGCATTCCATGTCTTGCAGTACGTGAGCCGAGAATGCGGCAGATAGGTTTAGAACGACTAACAGTATTCATCTAGTCAAAAAACAACAGGTCAAAGTCGTTCGTAAGTAGCGAAAGTGCAAAGACTCACATGTGGTGTGTTGGACCGCAGGTCGATGCTGATGGTGGTCAAAGCACTGAGTCACTCACACAGACGCACGGCGTATTACAAGATGTGACATCTAATTATGGTATACAAGTGCCGGTAAAGGTAGCGAGGCCGAGTTTTGAAAAACACGCACTGCAATCTCATATGCAACACACTGTAATGATACCGTCTGACTGACCTGTAATAGTACCGAGAACTGCTGCCTGAGGTGCCTTTGAGGCCATCCTTGCTCTTCTTGGAAGGCGTGGCCGGGAGCCGATCGCCCTCCCCAGGTTGTTGGATGTCGAATATCTCGATGGCATCTTCGAAATCGCAGTATAGCCTTGGTGTGGGTGATGCCCGTGTTGATTATTATCAAACATAAACGGAGTTTTCATGACAGGCTTACTTGTCGGCTGTTAAGTTGAATGAGAGACGGAGCGATGAACCTCTCACGGTGATCGATAATCGGGTACGAGGCCCTCAGCTAGTGGGGTCGATCAGCGGTCTGACGAAAACGTATATGAACACTATCCTTCCATCCGAAGTATCCAGAAGCTTCACTGGACAGTCGCGCACAGAAGCGACGAAACAGTAAGCTGGAGCATTGTTGGATGATGCCGCAGGATACCAAGCAAAATCGACGACCGCTGAGGACTGCGAGAATGTATGCTTATGGTGAGCAGAGAATTGTGTGCCTTCACGACGCTTTGATAGGTGAAAAAGCCAAATCATGCGCAACACGACTGACCTTGAATATTAATGTCTGGACTTCAGGATGTAAATTAAATCTGAGATGTAGATGACTCAGACAAGTTGATACAACAACGATGCTTACAAATTACATAAACAGCTGTTTTTGCACTGGACGAGAAAGCTGGATCCATCTTGCCGTAAATGACAGGGTCAATTTCGATCCAACTGGGCGATGCGAATGGATGCACGGTGTACGATTAAATTGTCTGGCGTAGGCTCAGCTTGCATTACCTACTCTCCAACGAGTGGCACCCCCGATGGTGATATTCAGGCCATGTGCGACTTGGTCAAGTCATGGTTCTGAGCCACCAACTTAAGATCCGGCTTCTATGCCGCAAGACGTACTACCCATTTGGATGCCGGTCGGAGACCCATGAGCTCTGCGCGTAGGTCAGCGAGCACTTCAGCGCCATCCTCTGGTGGAACGCTTCATCTGCACAAGACTCACCACCATCTCTTTCATCCTACATCCCCCGTCCTGCTTCGATTCAAAAACATTTGGGAATGCCTGCTCGTACACTCCTCCCCCATAACCTCTAATTATCGAATTTTACCGTCCCATTCTCGCTTGTTGTCTACTGACACACCGGAATCCCATGAATCTGCTATTTTTCGCATGTAGGTGAGTGTTTTTTTGTTCATTTTTCTATGTACATACACAACGCAAATGAATCTTTTCCAGAGTCACTCGTCATCATCTTCCCAGCCGTCTGATTTCTTTGACAGTCCTTCAGGGAACTTGGGCGAAGCTGTCCGAGGTCACTGTCAAGGGTGCTCAATATAACTCCCATGAACATCAGCCCAACCCAAATGTCTGCAAGGAACCCGGGTGATTGTCCTCAAATAAATCCACAGGACCTTCTTTTTCTGGCGCAAGCACATGAAATGTTGCACGGCTGGATAGGCTTATCCACCGGCTTGCCAACCCTTTCCCGGGCATCCGGAAGGATGTGATCCACACTTGCTGTTAGTGGAGGTGGACACTCGTCGACTCTCAGACAATCTTATCTTTGTGGAACTCTCCACATTTTAGAGACTTACACGCTGTATCCCCGGGTGATTGTCCTCAAATAAATCCACAGGACCTTCTTTTTCTGGCGCAAGCACATGAAATGTTGCACGGCTGGATAGGCTTATCCACCGGCTTGCCAACCCTTTCCCGGGCATCCGGAAGGATGTGATCCACACTTGCTGTTAGTGGAGGTGGACACTCCTCGACTGTCAGACAATCTTATCTTTGTGGAACTCTCCACATTTTAGAGACTTACACGCTGTATCTCTCGGTGTTGGTTTAGCTGTTTCCCTCATAACCTGGCGACCATCTTGACATTCCCAAGACTCATTCGGCGTGATCAGGCCAATCTTTCTTGTGCAAGTCTGAAATCGTATTGTTCCTGCGTACAACGACGGCTGCTCAGCTGTTTCTCCACTGTTATCAGGCAAGTTTTGTGTCAATCTGAACATTCTTACATGCTAGAATATCACAACCCTTCCGATTTTAAATAGATGGCGCATAGTCTTTTTTCAAACAGCGTCGGTGCGCGAAAGAGAGAAGGAGAACGACTTGTAGTAAGTTTTCGTTACATGTTCTGTATGTATGCCACTTTCCAACAGACTGAAGCACCAGCGCGACGTTTTTGAGGATGTTATAAACACTCAGCTTCCAACCGCTGTCAAGACGAGCGTTTCAAGTGATATGTTATCGTCTACGAATCATGGACTTGACCGCCTGAGCAGCCGTGCTCGGTCGTCTTGGCACAAAGTACGAGGGAGATGCGTTCATGTCGCCAGGGTTGCGAAGTTTATGAGATGTAGGGTGAGTCTGTTTTGATTTACCGATGTGACACTTTTCAATAACTATTTACAGGCGTGATCTCAGAGCTCAGCTTCAATATTCATTCTGGAGGAATGATTTGCATAGAAGACGTGCTTATGGGTTTTGTAGAACATTGACAGTCACTCCACCCTACTAATTGGCATGGTTTATACCCAACATTATGTAGAACTGCCTTCGTATCAAGCTATCTCTGTATCTGTATTCACGAAGTTATGCAGAATGTAGTTACGTTCCGGCGGCTTGGTGCCTGCATTATGTTCCGTACCCGTATACTTATCGTTACGACGTCTAGAACTCATGATTTATGTCATAGACACTTAATATATTGACCTGCTTCTGTATCTCAAATCTCGATGAAATATGATGGCTGAAGACCAAAAGAAGAAACCTCCTAGGATGGTGACGGCGATCGTGCATGGAACTGTCGTCATTAACGAATGACTTGGGGTTGCGAATATTCCTGCGAGAAAGCCTAGAGTAGATAAAGCCACGCTGTCGGCTTACGATCAACGTCATCTATATGCCTTGTCACGAGTTGATTACCTGGTGGTCCGTAAGAAAGAGGGAGCACTATAAATGACCGCAACTCTGGTACGATTGTCATTGAGATGCTGAGACTACATGTAGCATCGAATCAGCATAGAGAGAAAATCCTAGTTGGATTACACATACTGCAAATTCCAGAGACTTCATCTTTTCACCGAAGTGTCGAGCAGCGACACCTGCGAGTATGCAGTGGACACTGAAAATGAGTGAAAGAGAACATAGTGTCCTTGTTATCACTTGAGATCCGATATCCGGAATAGCGAGTATGCTAGCGTCCACCGCCATGATAACACCCGCCTCGATAATGGAAGACGTGAATTTGCACAGCTTTCTGATTTCAATAGAGGGAAATGTGCGTACCAAAGTGCTGTGTTTCACATTATCGTCGTTGAAACGGTCAACGAACTGCCTGATATCCAACGAGTTGACAATACCGTCGACATGGATATTTTCTATATGTTCTAAAACAAGTGCGGGCACTCCGAACATTGCAGCGGTCGCCAGTAAAAGGGGGAGAGATCGCTTTCGCTTGAAGCCTTCTACGGAGTGAGACCGCATCAAACGAGCTTCCGGTAAACCGTAGTAGTTTAAAATTGATGATGACCTTATCCAGGATCCTATAAGTTAATGCAAAATTTCAGCTGTGTCAGTCGCGAAATTCCTACGTAATATGCTCCATATCCTTCCTATAATTATTAGGGGTAGGTTCCATTTATGTCGCTGTATAAATGGGCGAAGCAAACATACCACAAAATGCTACTCCTTGCTCTGTCATTAAATCGTTGGACGAAAGATGAGACTCTGCGCGATTCCGTCCGAAAATAAAGCGCTATCATATTCGAGTGACGTACCGAATCTAATGATACAAGATATTATTTTCTCCGTTTGCTCATTATTCTGAAACAATGAAGCTGCTGTCGATTGTTCTAAGGTCAGTCCTTCTATAATGTGTATTTAATTCAGTTCTGTGGCATATGCACCCGGATGTCTTACCTGCTAAAAACCATTCCAAGTGAGCTCGTAGCTCATTCGCATCAGAAGGCCTCATTTCGTAATGACGCGGAAAGAAATCGACATGCTTCCTGATTTATATGTCCAAGCGGTGTTATTTTATGGACCAATGTTTCTTACCAAAATTGTGCTTCGAGCTCAAGACCTATGTATTTGAGTTGGACGGCATGACGTGCGTTGGCAGGATATCGTAACTTACGTTTATGATTCCACTCACGTGCGAGCCCACACTCCTGAAAAAGCAGACTTGCATCGAACACATCAAACCAAGCAACGACGTGCTGCTTTGTGTCTGCACAATAATATTCATAGTGATCGCCGTCCTGCTTTGCAACAGGTTCAACGACCAGGAACCACGTATCTTCTTGCAGTCTTCTGCGTGCCGCATGTATCCAATTATTCAGGTTGTGCAGTCGATCGCGCGAGCACCTCTTTATGTCGGTTCCTGTATATGTCTTCTGTACAATCGTAAGAAACACTGAGTTGAATATGGATGATCATGTGTTGCTTACCGTCTTCCAGGAAAAATAGTACATGACGCCTGATGGGTGCACGATCCCCTCCCAATCACCGTACACTTCATCCCTGTTTGATCACCAGCTTCAGTCGGTTTCGATTGAGCTACGTAATATAATCCCATACCGGAATGCGTCGACTTGTTTGGACTGAATAGTATAATCAGCGCCCAACAAAGGATCGCTAGGAAGGAGGTTAGGTTGGGGAACGCGCTTAAGAAATCAGTAAATAAGCTAACTGTATTACTGCTTTCGAGTACCGTTGCAACTCTGATGGCCATGAAGGTATGCTACGCCTTAGTAGATATCGATCAGCGTCTGTCTGAACCATTTCTCAGTTCCAGCAACATAAACAAGACACATCTTCAGTCAATCTTCAGTCGGCAATAATTTGATTTCCGATATATTCTCCGCATCGCCGGAGTTTCTATGTTACACTAACCCTCACGGCTGAGTCGTCACCCCCAGTAAGAACTGGTTGTGACGGGAGAGGACTGTATGTATTGATGAAAGTGGCCAGAAGAAAGATACCATCAGGGCACATTCTATCTTTTGGTTCCGCGGGCGCGCCCCTGTAAGCGTCATCCCGTCACCCCGTCCTACTCCACGACTTTCTCACTGTGTACCACACTGGATGCTAACATCTTCGCTCGCACACCCACGATCATCTACTACGTCCTGTGTGTCCTTCGGGCAGATACCAAAGACAGACGTTGACTCCATAGATTCTGACGATTCCTCAGGTATATGTTCCCCCACTGGCAGCCCCTCCTCCATCTTCTCACAAAATCCACCACGTCCATTATGCAATCCATGCTGCACGTCCTTTTTCTCCCAACGCCTTTCAACAGCAATGCTAATGGTACGTGTCCTGCGCTTAGATATGTCTATCCTGACTCTGTTAGGGCAGGATAAATCACATTGGCCGACTTTTTCGTAGCATCCGATGCCGCTACCACAAAGTCGATCACCCAACAGCCAAGCTCCTTGTCATCGTGTCACAAGTTCAAGAGTCTGAGGTATGTCCTTCTCCATCTTATTTCTTGTCTACTTTTTAACTTAAATCCAGATGGGTGACTCTACCAACATGATCATCATTCTCGCAACTTGAAGAGAACTCAAGAAATCAGATAACCTTCTCATGATGGGCTTCCACCCTAGCAAAGTCTTTGACATTATTTGTGGACATTCGTCTAACCGGATCCATGTGTAGCGACGAGGCGATAGATGATACTGGAACACGGTATCGAGCAGTAGAGTTCGTGACAGGCGTAGGGGAATTTCATCATTGTTATCTAAGTCACCTATTTTGCACTTTCAGGCAGGCTCTCCGTCATTCAAAAGTCAAGCTCACTTGGGTGTGTTCACAGCCGTTGAGGACTCCGTACACCTCTAAAGAGATTGATGCGATCGACAACCTGTAGGTTCCATAGTATAGCACGGCTGTCCGGCTTTTTGTTCTGCAGTTACAGTGTCATATCTTGACGGTGCCGGCGCCAGCCCCTGACTCGCTTATTCCTGGCATGTTTTGTATCCATCGAATTAAACGCAAACCAGTCTTTTTTATTTCATTTCTGGTAAATGACTGCTAATCCCATGTGATTGTACTGTCAATGCATGATGTTTTTCGACTTGTAACCGAATGAGTCTATCTTGACCAGTCTTGCTAAGCAGCTAGACAGGACAAACAATCTTTTCCTTTTACCACGCCCTGATTCCTGAACATTCACTCATGGATGGATTTTTCAAGGCCCAAGTCAATTCCACCAGCTAAGTAGTGCTCTCTTGCTGAGATATCTAATACAACGGCCTGCTGGGCATCCCAGGACCCTCCCTTGTTTGTTTTTTTGCGGTTTTCTTTTTTTGCAGTGTTTCTTATGTGACTATGAGGGGCACCGGCGATCGCGTGGAAGATAGGGATGCTCGGAGATGCCAGAGTCGCTTGATGTAGCACTTGCAGAAGGACACGAATGTATGGAGTTTGCCGAAGGGGAGTCGGTGAGCTGCCGGCGGGTTGTGCGTACAGGTGCAATGACCGGGAACTGGGGCTCACGGGCATGTAGATGCAACCGAGAGGTCCTTTGGATTGAGCGAGGGGTCTTCAAGTGATGAATGGCTCCTGAGCGCTCCAGTGGTCTGCGATGTCTCCTGGAGTATGTAAAAGATATCGGGGAAATCACATCTACGCTAGGCGATGGCGACGGAGGAGCAAAGGAAGGTGTCGGCAGTGTCGAGAATGTCGCTGACGTGCCAAGGTATACAGTTTGCTCGTTCTCTTTGTCCTCTGCAGGAACAGCCACAGCTAAATTGGAAGTCATTCTCGAGTTGAAAACCCGGCCTTCTCGGTTTGCGCCTCCGAGAACAGTCCTAGCACTGGGGGTTTCTGACAGCGACGCGCCGATGAGTCCGATGTGGCCAAGCTACGAATGTGTCAACTGGAACAGAGACTTGGACAGGGGGCTTGGGGAGGGAGAGGGGGCAGAAACGAGCGACTGGGATGACTGAGACGACTTTGGAGTGAAAAAGACTTCATCAAGCAGTGATTCGCTGATACTGTGGGGGCTTGCAAGATTAGAGGACAGTCCTGCCAGTGAGGAGGCTGTCATCTGGGACCTAGGCAATTTCGAGACCTTTCCCTGTGTAGCTGCTATGTTTTTTTCAAGTCTACTCGATTTCGGCAGGGTGCATACGTCGGTGTCATAACCAAACCTGAGAGGCGAGTTTAAGGACGTAGAAAATTTGTCGATCACAGAGTCGATGATGAGCGGTATTTCACCAGACGTGCTTGGTGATAATAGGTCACTTGATTTGAGAATAGGTGACGGAGGGCAAAGGGTAATAGCAAGCAAACGCAAGTCAGAAGACGTGCGGGTCAGACGGACATGCGTTGAGGACAGCATACTTTCAAATGAGTGGACCAGCAAGGAGGGAGATAAAATGACTGTAGCAGTCAAGTAGCAGTACCGTCCTTCTCTAGAAGGTCAGCCGCATCCTCTGATTCAATGCTCACGGTGGCTGACAATAATCATTATTGCACACATATCCTAACCTAATGTTCTGAGTAGGGGAGGGTGAGTCACCCTAGGGCGGCGCGCCATCAGGTGCGCGGATATAACTTCTGCGTGAAGGTCTAGTTGTTAGGGGACCATAGCTAACAACTCAGATAGATAGGAAGTCTCACTGCGCCTCGATTTCTCGGTGCGCTGCAATCTTGGGCATGTGCTCACTGATACTTAGATGCATGAGCCAATCGAGACATCGTCCGCGATTATATACCTGACAGAAAAAAACTATATCCCGTGCTGCTGTAATGCAGCAACCTCAGTGGTAGCCATGACAGGAAAGTGGACTCGGACGAGTTCGCCATCGATGTTGATTGGCCGGCAATACCAAGAGGAAACCGACAACATTCTCACAAAATGCGCCACGGACATCCATGAGAGTTATTGTAGTTGAGCAAGGCGACATCCAGTACTCAAGGGATTGGGTGTCATTTGCAGTGACGAGCTAGAGCACCGATATTTCAGGCTGAGTGAAAGTTCGAAGACGGTCACGTGACACAAGGGGGCGGCAGCTGCGTCATGACTCATGGCAAGGGGTACAACGGTCCCCTTGCCATGACCAGTTTTCCCTCAACACGCGTTCTCAGAAGGGTTTTTCATTGGACAACGACCTGAAGTCAGATAGTGAACATGTGCCGTGTACAGAGTGTGCGCAACTACGGAAAACGCCTCTTGCACTACTTGTGGATGACCTTGGCATTCTTCGTGAGGGGGACGAACCTGCTATCGAAGATGTATTGCGACGGCAGCTCCTAGACAAAGATCGCGAGAATGATAAGGTGAGCTTAATTAGTCATGAGCGACGATCTATGCAGCGAAAATGAGCTGAGTTGGACTTATTCAAGCTTCAATCAACGATATCAACGCCACAACAGGTTACAACAACTGGCTTTGAGGCCACCCATCGAAAAGATCCAAGAGCTGGAGAAAGAACATAAAAATCTTGATCTGATTCTGCAGGGAACTCAGAGACAGAATGAAAGGTGCATGGCAGAGCTGGACAGGTGAGCACATACGTGCATGCCTATTATTCATTCAAGACGGTACATTGTCATAGACCCTTAGGGTGAAGATTAGGGAGAAAATGCTGGAGCAAGCTTTGGCTAAATTCGCAGGCCAGAATTGGCAGGTTTACACTCCTGCTAAATAACATAAATCGTACAAATCTGATGTGCTCTCAGGCTGCGCTCAACATAGCACCATCTTCTTCAACATTCGCAGCTCCGGCACACCTCTTCTTGAGCTACGTCCATCGTCTACTTTTAGCCCTTTTCACTCGCTTCTCATTACCAATTACTTGTTTGGCTCTGACGCTTATCTCCTTCCTTCATTTCCGATCCTTCCTTGCCCTCTTTTTTGGTCCTCGTTTCTCTTTCCATCACCTGGATACTCGGTCCTCCTTCCTTGTTCCAATTGCGTCTTTCTCACATAATTTTACGCTTCTATCTACTCGTTCTTTTTCTTATTCTTATTCTTATTTGATTACACTTTGATCTGTTCCGATCTTGTTTGATATTCACTCATCTCGACCAATCGATCCCTTGATTTTCTCCTTCGACTTCCCAACCAGATTTTCGCTTCTTTATAATCCCGACCCGGGGATGCCTCCTTTCAAATGACATTCCTCCTTCCAAACATCATTCCTTTCAAACGTTAACTGTTGACACACAGTCAACACGACGCCGACGCTCGCACAGCTCTATGGCCTCTCTTCCGTTACCTCCTCTGGCACGACGTAGCGACAGAACATGCAAGTGCTGACACTAATTATGAGTATTACGAGCAGGTGCGTTCGTTTGTTTTAGATTTTTCGCATCTGATCATTTTTCCTTGCATCTACTCATCTACCGTGCATTTAATTGTCATGCTCACACATCTAATCATCACACACGCACATCTAACACTCGCACATCCAATCATCCTATCCAATGCTCACATCCAACCGACCATCTGATCTAACCCCCACATCAAACACCACGCACAAAAGGCCAACCTAGCATTCGCAATCCGCCTCGCCAGCATCGCCCAACCCGGCGACCCTCGTAGTGCGTGCATATTTTATCATTTTGTATACCACACCTAACCCCTGTAACCGCTACTCCCAACAGCCACCAAACTCTCAGAAAGGACGGATTCTACATGCTACTGAGTTAGTTAGGGTTATGGGCCCTCCTAGTATTGCCTAGGGTCCACTTTTTGCCTGTATTGATTCACTCACATGGATGTGGGAGTCCTGGACTCCCACTGTGTATGGGCCCATCCAGATATGTATGTGGATGTAGGAGTTAGGAGTTCATGGACTCCATTGTACACAGTGGGCTTCCAGGACTCCCACTGTATGTGGGGGTTAAAACACATTGGTTTTCGTTCTCTCTCATCATATACAGTGGCCTTCCAGGACTCCCACTGTGTATGGGAGTCAAAAAACATCAGATCTCATTCTCTCATCGTACACAGTGGCCTTCCAGGACTCCCACTGTGTGTGGGGGTCAAAAAACATCGGTTTTTCATTCTTTCATCATCCACAGTGGCCTTCCAGGACTCCCACTGTGTATGGGGGTAAAAAACATCAGATCTCATTCCCTCATCATATACAGTGGGCTTCCAGGACTCCCACTGTGTATGGGGTCAAAACGTCGGATCTCATGCATGCACTGACTTAGAAAACCTTGGCAGAGCACAAGTCCGCAAACCGATTCACTCTAAGGAGCTTGAGGTATTGAGCAAGCTGCATACTTTGATTAGTTTCTTGCAGAGCCTGCAGTACCTGTTTACATTCTGAAATATACTGACAGGACGAAGGTGAAGGAGGCTTATCGATCATCGATCATCTATTCCACAACGCTGAAGCCTTTATGATCGGATTGATCCAACATGAGTATTTCATGCGGAGCTTATTCCATTTATTCCCGACTAGTCAAAGATGTTGGTTTTTATCTTTTCATTATACACAGTGGGCTTCCAGGACTCCCACTGTGTATGGGGGTCAAAAAATAGTGGATCTCATTCCCTCATCATATACAGTGGCCTTCCAGGACTCCCACTGTGTGTGGGGGTCAAAAAACATCGGTTTTTATTCTCTCATCATATACAGTGGGCTTCCAGGACTCCCACTGTGTATGGGGGTAAAACACATCAGATCTCATTCTCTCATCATATACAGTGGCCTTCCAGGACTCCCACTGTGTATGGGAGTCAAAAACATCAGATCTCATTCTCTCATTGTACACAGTGGGCTTCCAGGACTCCCACTGTGTATGGGAGTCAAAAACATCAGATCTCATTCTCTCATCATCCACAGTGGCCTTCCAGGACTCCCACTGTGTGTGGGGGTCAAAAACATCGGTTTTCATTCTCTCATTGTACACAGTGGCCTTCCAGGACTCCCACTGTGTATGGGGGGTAAAACACATCAGATCTCATTCTCTCATTGTACACAGTGGCCTTCCAGGACTCCCACTGTGTATGGGAGTCAAACACATTGGTTTTCGTTCTCTCATCATATACAGTGGCCTTCCAGGACTCCCACTGTGTATGGGAGTCAAAAACATCGGATCTCATTCTCTCATCATCCACAGTGGCCTTCCAGGACTCCCACTGTGTGTGGGGGTCAAAAACATCGGATCTCATTCTCTCATCATCCACAGTGGCCTTCCAGGACTCCCACTGTGTATTGGGAGTCAAAAACATTGGATC